AGTTTAGCTTTAGAAATGAGATCGGAGGCATATTTTACTTGAGAAGGAAGGTAGCCATCATCTGAAAAAGTGACTTCAAGCCCTATAAACTAGCTTAGAACACCAAGATCTTTCATCTCAAATTTCTAATTGAGAGACCATTTAAACTCATCAACACTTACAATATCATCTCCAGTAATAACCATGTCATCAACATAAAAAAGTAAAAGAACCATACCTTGAGCAGTCTTATGAATGAACAAAGCTGTATCATGTGAACTAAAAGTAAAACGAAACTCACTCACAGTAGCACTAAACTTTGCATACCAAGCTTGAGAGGATTGCTTCATACTATATAATGCACATCCCAATAGGCATACCTTGTTTAGAGGATGATTGAGTCTAAAAGGTGGTTTCATATAAACTTTTTCTTCTAGATCACAATTAAGAAAAGCATTTTTCACATCCATCTAAAATAATATCCATCTCCATATAGTAATGATAGCAAGCAAACTGTGCACAAATGTGACACAAGCAACTAGAGCAAATGTTTCCTCATAGTCTATTCCATACTCTTGTGTAAAACCATTGGCAACCAAGCATGTTTTATCACGTTCCACAGAACCATCAGATCGCATTTTGACCTTGTACACCCATTTACAGCATATCAAAGACTTTTCAACAAGAAGATCAACTAAATCCCATGTACAAGTGTTCTCAAGAGCTTGTGATTCATCTTGCATAGCTTGTTGCCAAGAGCATTAAAGAGGCCTTTCGATAAGATTGAGGCTCATGAAAAGAAGTAATAGCAGGAATACAACGATAATCATAAAGGTAGTTGGGAGGGTTTCTTACCCAAGTAGAATGACTTGAGGATGGGATAACAAGCTCATTTGTAGACCTAATAATATCAAATGCAACATCAACAGGTGATACAGATGAGGAAGTAGAGGAAGGCTTAGAATTATCTAATGCATTACCAGCAGGTAAAGTTGAAGCATGTAGTGAGGCATTGTAGAGCTCATTAGATGTACTTGTATCAAAATACTAGGAAATAGCTCAACAAAAAGATTAGTAAAAAAATGGAAGATGATGAAAGGATGACAATTTGAAGTTTGACAATGATGAGAACATAGTGTGTTTCCAAAAGACAACATGATGTGAAACTCGGAGTTTTTGTGACACAGGATCCTAACAACGATATCCTTTTTGCGTAATCCCATAACCCAAAAAACAACATAATCAAGCTTTAGGCTCTAACTTATTATGTTCATGAGGTGAAAAAGAACAAAACATGCATAACCAAAAACCTTTAAAAGATCATAGGTAAGGAGAATACAATGCAAACACTGATATGGAGACTGGTTATTGAGGACTGATGATGGAATGTGATTAATGAGATAAACAACTGTAGGAGCAGCTTCACCCTAAAATTGCATTGGACAAGAAGAAGAAATGAGTAGAGCACGAACAAATTTAAGGATGTGTTTGTATTTGCATTTAGCCCGCCCATCTTGTTTAGAAGTGTAAGGACAAGATTCTTATGTCAATGTAGCCTATTCTTTGGGAAAGAATTGAAGTTTAGTAGCAAGATATTCAATAGCATTATTTGTTCTCAAAACTTTGATAATTTTAAAGAATTGGGTTTTGACCATGATAGCAAAATCAATATAAAGTTGTGATAATTCAGAGTAATTTTTCATAATATATATCTAGGTAAAATGAGTATGATCATCAATAAATAACACAAAATACCTGGAACCTCCAATAGTGGCAGTAGAAGATGGACCCCAAACATTAGAATGCACAATATCAAAAGGAGTAATAGAAAGAGAATGATTACTCGAAAATGATAAAGCTAATTGTTTTGTAGATTGACATGACACACAATTCAAGGATTCATTTGGAATGGATCCTAATAAACCACAAGAGATAAGAGGATGAAGTTTATCGACTAAGGTATGTCCAAGCCGTGAGTGCCACAAATGGAAAGGAGAAATGTTAGTAGTAGCATATGCTTGCAAAATTTGTTGGTATGGAATTTGTAAAGATTCTAATTCACAAAGTAAGATTTGGATGAAGTGATCATTTGGAAATGATGGTGTATCCATTTTATGATGTGGAACATGCAAATAATTCAACTCAACCATCTACCCTACCTTGCAACTAGTTCTAAGAAGTTGTCCTGTTTATGAGTCCTGCACATGACAACAATGAGCGAAAAATGTTACTTTGAGGCCAAGATCACATAATTGACCAATAGATAAAAGATTATGACTAAGTTCTGGAGCCAAGAGAGCATTTGGTAAAGTCAATGACTTTGTAGAAATATTGTCAATGTAACTAACATTCATAGGAGAACCATCTGTAAAATAAAGATTAGGAAATGATATATTTGGAGAAATTGAAGAGAAATGAGCAGTAGTTAAAGACATATGATTATAGCCAAAATAAAAATACTAAGGTTTGATACCTAGAACAACAGATAAGGCAATAGAAGTATTAAAAAGATTTAATATCACCTGTATTAGAGATTCAAGGTTGACATTAGGTTGGTTTATCATTTCTTTGGCAACCATAGCAGTAGTAGAATAAGTTACAATCCTTTCAAAACTCACCATAAAATCAATAAAACTCATAATACTGAAAATAAATCTATAAAAATATGAAAAAATAGATGCCAAGATCAAAATAACAATAAAACAAAATACCTCAGAAAAAGTCTGAGAATTGAGAATAAACAATCTAACATGTAGGAGAAGAGATCTTAATAACAAAATTTCAAATCCGAAATGGATTTGAAAATCCAACTCAAAAACCAAATAGTGATGATAAAAGAGAAAAATCATGAGCTTATAGCTGTGATACCATATTAGAAATAAAAAAGTAAATATTTGAAAAAAAGTTTATTGTTTTTTTGTCTTTATTGTATATACAAAGATTCTACATATAGAATTATTTAATAGAATATTCCTAAGTATAAAACCAATTAACTTAAATGTATATAATCAATTATAATATAAACATAATATTTTAATACAAATATTAATATTCTAAAACAAATATTAATATTCTAACCGTAACGTTTATGATTTTCCTACTTCATACTTTTTAATTTTGTTCTTAATTTAAATTTTCAATTTTCAATTGCCACTAGGGTCTTGAAGCATATTCTTTATTTGTTTTAACAGTTAAAATGCTTTTAAATCAATTTTTTAACATATTTTGAGAATTATCTTTTTATTGGTAATTTTAAGAACACACTTTATATTGATTTAGTACATTAAAAAATTAATTTATATAGATGTTGAACTTAAAATTTAAAATTTAAATTTAATTTATAAAATAATACTTAATTAGTTAATTGTTTTTCAGTATAAATCTAACTCTGAGGTTGAAGTATATTATTCTTTGCTGAAAATGGTAGCAGATAACCAGAAGAACTCCACAAAAAAACATCACGCACAATTATACTTCATTACATGAGCATATGATAAACAAAATAATGAACTAATAGACATATGGCAACTAAAGGACATCATAAAACTAAAGCAAAATACTAATTACGGTGAAGAATAATCAACAAATCAAAAGTGGTCTCTCCAACAAAAGTCTACCTGAACAGCATTTCCATGGAATCGCCACAGCAGGTAGTGGGGGAGGAGATTGGACTGGCGTAACTTAAGCATGAGTTGTACTACTGAGATTGGAATGGTGTAACTTAAGCAGAAGTTGTACTACTACCCCTATTGCCATTGTTATTTTTGCCATGGTTTTATAGTGACTAACACTATAAGCAGGATAATCACCAGGAAGATAATAATGGCATAGCACATCCATTTCCGGGAATTTTTCTGAAGAACTCTAGCCTTCTCCAACTGCTGATTACCCCCTCTTACAAAGGAATTGGCTCTTGCAACTTGATTCTCAATATCATCCAACTGTTCCCCTTGAGCTTGAACTAGCACTGACATGTCCAAGAAAACTTGGTGTAACTCCTGGAGATTCTTCTCCAAGTCTTTAACTGCATCATGCCTTTCCTGAATCTCATTGATTGTATCCAAAATTCTGCCCCTCCCTTGCTCTTGAATGGCTTTCTGCAAGAACGTCTCACTCTCCCCTGTAAATTGATCACATTCATATGACATTCAGACACAGCTAGCTATTATACAAGAATGATCAGGTTGTTAGAGAACTCTAATTATCCACAAACCCAAAAATGAATTGGCAATCTGGACCCAAGAGCATCCCCATATGAGGGAGACTTCAATCGCCACGTTATCATTATTTATTATTTTATTTCATTCACATGTTAAAACTTTAAATGAAATTCTCCAATTCAATATTGAGACGGCTAACAAAAAACCCTAAAAAAATAACGCAATGAAAAAAGTAAAATTTTTAATTTTTTAAAAAAATAATAATAAGGCACTGACAATTGTCATCATCCATTACTTTTTTTTTATTTTTTAAACTCATCCTTCGTTTAATTGATAAGACTTTAAAATATATTTAGTTAAAAATTAATTTTAATAAAAAATTTTATTATAATATAATTAAAAGATATTATATAAAAAATGAATAAATTTTATAATAAAATTTATTAAATTATTAATCTTTTTACTTGTATTTGATAAAAAATAAAATAAAATAACCCTATTATTATTAACATTATTATTTATTGTTTGTGTCTTTATTTTTTTCCCATTACTACGTTTCCTTTGTTCAACAAGGGACATGCATCGGTAATCACTCACCTGTGGAAATCAACCGATCCAGAATTCTCTCATCGGGGTTTTCGCCGGTGACTGTGAAGTACCTCCTCTGGATGGTCTCTCTGTACTCGGTGGAAATCTTCTCTCTCAATGCGTTAAAGCTCTCCATAGAATCCTTCAACTTCTTTCTCAGCCCGTTGACAACCGAGGTCCTGGTCCGGTCTGATGATGAGCCCGGCCCGCAACCAGGTAGGCTCCGGTTAGCACCGTTAGAGCGGTCAAGGGCCTCGAGGCGGACCTTGATGAGCTTGGCAGTTTTCAAGGCTGTGGCCACGTCCGCGTCCATGCGAGCTCTCAGGTCCTTGACCGCCTTGGCATTGTGCAGGGTCTTGGTCTGCTCGTGAGACGACTTTAGGCTATTGTTGAGCCTCTCCAGCTCCTTGAGCTCGTCCTTGATCGACTCCACGTCCTCGAAGAACTTGTCGAGATTGACCCCTCCGGTGGACGCAGACTGCGTCATCTGAATGGTATGATGCTGGTGATCGGGAGACGCCTCTGCACTGCGAAAGCGAGAAAATGATCCGGAAAAAAGGTCGTTCATATTGGAAGATCAAAACCCAACAGTATTAAATCTCCCAACAAGAATGAATGTTAAGGTGTTTGAAGAATCTTAATTCGGCACACCAACGGTTCGGTGAGATGCCCGATCGAGGAGAAATGAGAATTAAAATCCAACAACCCAGAAGAAGAAATAGGAATAGGGCGATGGGTATTGAAATCTTTGAGGGGTTTTCATAACTGATATGATGAAGGAGGTGGGACTGGTCAAGGGTCATTCCTTTTACGGTTTCAACTTTGAAATGAGGGATATTTAGAAATCAAAATAAGGGGAAAGAGGAGGGCGTTGGCTTTTTCTTCGTGACATGGGACATGGGTTTTGTTTCGTTCATCTTGCTGAACGTCTAAGGAAACATCAGGGAAAAGTGGAGCAAAAGGCTGGTAGACTGCGGGGTGCACAATTAATGCGAGACTGCTAAGGGAGGTTAAAGAAAATGGACCATGGTAATTGCCACAAATCAGAGGTCACACAAAATATTACAAGTGGATTTTATTTATTTATTTTATTACTTATATTTAAATTTTTTAATTTATAAATTAATTTTAAAATATTAAGTAATAAATATTAATTATTTTATTAAATATCAACCATTAATTATGTCGCCCTAACTATGACCAAGAAAATGGGATGGAATGTTCATTTCTTGGTGAGAAAAACGCGTGGTGGAATTGGGTTATAAGGGTAAGGATTTATTTTCCTGTTTGATTTGTTTGTTTTAACTTTTAAGTTGACTGCTGCCGTTGATGAGAAAATCTACGCACTGTTTCTAAGAAAGAGGAGACTTGGTCTTTATTGATTTGGAGATATCACTGTTTGTGTTGAAGAAAGATGAGACTTGGTCTTATTGGCGGCTCACGCATGTAATTATACTAAGTTTTTAATTTTTTTTACTACATTTAATTATAAATTATATAAAAATAATAATTATCTTCCGTTTTCAAATTTTCCTTCACTCAATTTAAAATTTTAATGTGCCAACAACAATGATTCAATATTATTTTTTTTATTGCACACTTGATCTTTCGAATCAACTAACAGTATACCACATTGAGGTGCATTCTCCCGTTTCTATAGACGGATTTTGAGCTGTCTCTTGAGAACTTGTTCAAAAAAATATATATATATTCTTTTTATTGCAACAACGTAACTGCTGGAGCTAGCCGCGGGGTTAAGATGTATGCACTACCTGTCCATTCAGTTTCGAACTCGAGAGGTATTCATTTAATCAGTTCTCCTTTTCCTCAGGCCTTGGTTTAAAATGCTATTATAATTGTAGGTTCAGAAGAGAAATATTAAGCTTTTTGTTGGGTTTTGGACTTTCCCTTCACATTGAAGAAAAGATTGAAGAAAAAGAAAGGGGTGAGAATTCTTTGACACATGTTGGGTATGAAATATATTTGATATTTGATTTGAAAATTTTTAGATATAGTTTTTTAAATTTAATACTTATTAAAATATTTGAAGACCTAAACTTGGTACTTAACTCAATAGGTATTAGGTAACTTATATGTATATATTTATATACTTATTGAATGATATTTTACTTTAAATTTTTTTTCAAATTAATATTTAATAAAATATTATTTATTACAATCTAAACTTAAATATAATTTAAAATAATAATAGAAAACTAAAATTTAGTTTCATATATAAAGCTCAAATTTATATATTATTAATAGACTAAACTCAGTGAAATAATTAATAATAAAGAATAAAAAATATGTACCCAAAAAATAATAAATGAAAATAAATTAAATAAAAAAATGAAAGTACTTCAAATAAGATGTTCGGGTTTTTGGGCTCATGATACCCCTGATCCTTTGCTTTGGTTTGTTAGAAATGGATATTGACTAATGGTATTATGTCTATTTTAACAATTTGATATCCATACTTTCAACTTATGATACTTATCATGTTAATAAAAAATTACTAATAGAAGAGTATATTAAAAAAAAAAACCTAAAAAGAGTTAAACTTTAAAGTTTTATATATTCATTGTTGTCTAAGAGTATAAAGAAGAGCACTTGACCTTTTGGGCCAATTAACTTTTAGCCAGCTTTAAAAATACATTTCTATTAATATGATATTGATTCAAATTCTCTTGTCTCTTGAAATTTAAACTTGTTTAAAAAAAAAAAAGAGTGCAAGGGAAAAAGTTATTGACTGCATGTGTGATATATGTTTGGTTTAAAATTTGTTATTTATAAGTTGTATATGTGATTTTTTTTATTTGTGTTTTATTATTTTTATTTTTAAAAATTATTGTTATTATATAGATGTTAAGTATAATAAATATATATAAAATTTCAATTATATAAATATAGATAATATGTTAATTAAATAAAATAGTTAAACAAATCGAGTAAACAGTTTTAAATCCTTACATTTATTACTTAACTTAATACTTATAAGTATATTATTTTCATATTTATTACTTATCAACTTTTTTTTACAATCCGGATAAAATACTTATCAAAATAAGTAAAATACTTACAAATAATAGATGTATCCGTGCCCAACACTCATCCAAAAAAAACCCCTTAAGCACATTTAAAATCCTTGTTTCAACAGCCCAAAAATCACATTGGTTAGACTCGTGAGAGGAGCGGGTAGACAAAAGGGGAAGAAAAACCAAGAGAAAAGGAGAACAATTATCTGCTCTGATCCTCACTTGCCATCCATTGAATCGAACTGGTTTGGTTTGGGAGTTCGTGATAGACCGTTCTACAATCTAAATGGTCAGTTTCACTTAGAACTCAGCACCATCTGATTTAGTGCACAGAACAACAATTCATTTTTGGGTGTTTTCTTTCTCAGGAACTAACTTTCAAATTCAAGGCTGCTTCGTCAACTATGACTTAATTCTTCTATTCAACAAATGTGGGTTCTAGTGCATCACGTATGATAGAATGAATTCAATTTCGTTTCACATTGCTTGCACTCGTTATGATGAAAACCAAAATGAACATTCCATCTTCTGTCACTATGCTCTCTCTAATTCCTATCATCGTAAGAATTACAACGAAGCACCGTAATTTACAATTCGTAGTTACAAAATTACAACAGTCAAGATCTTGTCGCTAACAGCCGACCAAACCACGCAAAACCAAGCCCTAATTTCAAGTAGATTGCAGGACAGTAAGATGATAAGGATATCCTTGGCATACTCCTGAAGATGGTTTTTGTTCCCCTAGATTTCCTTCATCACTACTAGCTGGCACAAGATTCCAATTCAAAACATAGTTTGAAAGATCATAAGTTCCTGGAGCAAAAACACAAATCTGAAGAGGAACTTCAACTGTCGATTTTGGCTCAATAAGGACCTTGGTGAAGCTTGATCCTGACCAAATGAACGGCAATACACTTTCTAGGGACATTGATTTTCCGGCTTGTGTTGCAAGAACATCAGATGTGACTTTAATATCTTTCGCTACAGGAATGTCATGCCATCCTGCTTGGTCTTCTGAGTGATGAGCTGCTGCTGCAGCATTGCTCGACTGGCCACCACTGCTGTGGGAATCAGAAGGGTTGACATGGACAGATACAACACCATCTGCTGAGTTGCTAATAGTCATCCTTACATTAATTTCACAAAAAGAAGCTGCAAAATCATGACATATGGTCCGAGGCCCATCTACTAGCCATGATATTGGACTTTTGCTTGAAAGACTATAAAAATGCAAAAGGAGCGGAAGGAGAAGTCAGAACTAGTTACTAGTATATACTCAATTCATTTTTAAAGAATATTGGTTATGTAAGTCTTGCCTGCAATGGCACGCATGATGGGAAAAGAGATGTAGATCAGAAGCCCCAGCATGTATATTACTTCTCAGCAGCCGAGAGATCAAAATGAAGTCAACTCTATGTTGAATGCCCTGGTCCTCATAAAAAACAAAATGGTGAAAAAATTAATGGCTAGGAAAAAATTGCAAAGAATTTAAAATAATGCAATGGATCAAACATATTCTAGTGATCCATCAAAACCTGTTCAGTATTTGCGACACAGATGAAAGTTTTAATAATGTATCTTGGATGAAATGACTATGGTGGAAGAGGTCAAAGATGACACTTGACGAGAGAATGAAAAAGAATGACTATCTAGTTAGTAATGTGCATATGGCATGAGAATGGCAAGAAAGTTAACAACCTGCTGCAATGTGCCCTGGTGCAATCTTTCACAGTTGTGGAAATCAGCCAAAGGCAATCTAGATACTTCATAAAGGGTTTCATCATCACTCTGAGGACCCAATTTTACATCACTTTCAAGGTGAAGGGATGGAGACGAAATTCTGTTTTCTGAAGTCAATGACTTGTGATCCTGAAGCAAAAATTAATTCAAACAGCAAATTGATGAACCTGGAACAAATAGGTAAACATTGACGATCACAAGCATATATCTAATCTGTAATCTCAAGTGGCCAAACCATTTTAGGAAACACTATCAGGTGACAAGGTATTGTAAACCTAAAAAGAAGAGGTGAGAACAAGCTGTTGAATTGCAACTCATGCAGGTTATGCACCCTATCCAATGCACTTTTTCCCCCTGATCAGCCCAAAAAAATATTAGAATGTCAAAAATATTAACCATGTGGGAGTACAAGAATGAAGAATCCTAAAAGCACTTGCCATTAGAACCCATATTGCAAGCCAACCTTAGGTTTCAGTTAATCCCTGCTTAACCAGCAGAACCCAGCTGGCATATTTACTCCCAGGTTCTGTGTATGCCATGTAGGTGCCTGTACCCATACTACCCAAAGCAACAAAAATCTTAACGTTGACAGTTTTCTAATGTTACAGAAAACTAAAAAAGTAAAGCTTCAAGCCAAACTCAATAAAATTTTAGTTGAGATCAGGTTTCACTGAGTAGAAAATGGTTCCACGAAGCAGTTGAATTCAAGTTCTACTCATTTCTAGGTTCAGAGCATTCAGGTAGCAGCCCTTAAGAAAAATGTTAGAATTTCTAAACATCATTACATATCACATGCACAACATGTTTGACTCTCCCCAACCCCCTCCACCTAAAAGGGAAAAAAATTGTAATTCAAGTTCAATTTATTGCTTGAAAGAGGTAAGCCAATATGATTAGTCAATTACAAATTAAAGCATGAAATAAACTGATGATAAAACATTTTATAAGATACCAAACAAAAATGATTCAGTGCCAGTACCAACCTTAAGCATGAAGAAACATGACAATGCTTGGTGAGGGAATAAAGATCGAGAAGGTAAGACACCATCAACAGGCTGAAGTAATGAGATACCCCACTGCTTTGCAACAGATGACAGCTGATGAACCTGGAAACTCTCTGAACTAGTCTGGTTGAGAACATTCATGCGCAAGAGGAACTCTTGCATTCTCAATGGGCAAGGACTAATTTGAAATGACACATCAAGAGATGGCAACACCTACAAAACATGAATATAAACAGATTATCATTGGCTAGCAAGTAGCATCATGTATTAAAGCAAGTCTTCACTGAGCAGAGAAATGTGTTTAAGAACTACACGTAGCACTAATGAAATAATATTTAAATTCTTCAAAGTAAAAGAAAAATTCTTAACTGTATGGAAAAGAACTACACGTAGCACTAAAACCCAACCCAAGTTACTCTCATGCAAATTGTATGGAAAATTCTTAACTGCTGCAATCCATGGCTTTCAGAAGAAATATTCATGTTATCCCCTTCTTACAACTCAAGTATATTTCAGTAGTTCCCTATTTTCTTCATGTCTATGAAGGTAAATACAATTAACAATACCAACCACCTGGAGTTTACTCATTAAACAACACAGAAAATATGTGAAAATAATAATAATAATAATAATCCAGGAAACTCTACCTTCCACATATAAGCACATACCTTCAAATTATAATGCATGCGTAGAATGCGATATCTCATGACACCTGATACCTCTCCCATTTCATAATATACTGTTATGTAGAAAGAAATATCTCCAGGAACAGCAGTTCGAAGCCAAAGAGACCACCGTAATGGTGTTTCCTCCAGAACCATTATGTCCTGAAACAAAGAAATTTGAGTATTATGATTGTGAAAAAACAAATCAATCTGGATGAAACATGCATCTGAGAAACTGCAAACTGACCTCTGGAAATGAAAATACTCCCTGAGATATTGTGTTAGATTTGGCAAGCCCACCATTAGTTTCAACATTTATCGTCTTCTCCAAAAAAGTGGGAAATTTGATATTCAACTCTTCCTGATTCCCAATAACAAGGAATCTGGGATGGCTGATCTTCATCTTAAGATTCTGCCAATCATTTAGAAGATATCAATCTACAGCATGCAAAGGACATGCATGCATGTACATATATTGAGATAAACAGAGTCCATGCCTCAGTGATGATTGAGACAAAATAGTTATCAATAAGACCACTCTTTAGCTGAGCCTGAGGCAGCAATGATGTGT